TCCATATTCAGAACCACAAGCCCCCAACGACCACACATAATGCTCTCCAGAGTTGTAATCTTGAAACCAAACTTGGAAGCAGGGGTGCAAGGGGTGATTTTGATTGATTCTCTTAATCAATTTTCTCTTTGAAAAAAAATACTACAAATTTGGTACGCCTACAATTCAAAAACGGAAAGAGTTGAGATAATAGATAATTGATCAATTAAAAGAATTAAATGCTCTTCACATTTATTCCGTCCACTAGCGGTCCTACGTCAAGCTTCCGTTCGTGCCCCTAGGCACAGACCCTTCTACTTTTTAATGAACAAACTTCTCTTCTTTCTCTGCTCGGGGGAAGTGTTGGCAGCTGCCGTAAGTAAAAGCAAAGTAATTTAACTACAGGTAAAAATAAGGAAATATGTCAAAGTTATTTAACCAAGGTATGACAGCTCTTCCTGCCTTGAAAGTATGCAATTACATATTTGAATCTTCACAAATTCAATCTTCTCGAAGAACGAATGATTCTGCCCGATCGTCTCTGCGATTGGTATGCTCCTTGATGGTTAGATAGAGCGAGCAGAGAAAGAAGAGAAGTTTGTTCATTAAAAAGTTGTTATTAAATAAACACGTAAGTCGAACACGCCATAGTTCTTGTCCGGTTTTAATTAGTGAAATCCTCCTGAAAAACCTTTTCTTGGCCACCGTTACAACAGTTGGCGACCGAGGATGATGCAAGCGGATCCAATTCCGCCGAATCCGAATCCGAATCTGAATCCACCGGTTCCCGTTGTTCCTGTGAATGTGCCTGCTGTTCTTGCTCCGGCGATGCAATCGTCGTTCACAATCGATGCATTCGATCGGCACCGAATGAAATGTTCCCGGTGGGTCGAAAGGCTGGAAGGTGCATTTGTGTGGTTTGGGGTACGGGAGGAGACGAAACTCTACATGCTACTTCACTTCATGGGAGGTGAGACCTACGATACTGTTTGCAATAAGCTTGCACCTGAGAAACCGCAGACGAAGACGTACGATGACATTGTGGGCGTGTTGGAGACTCATTTCAATCCAGAGCCACTGCACAGTGGTCCAGAATGCAGATTTAGGTGGAATGATATGTTTTGAGCCTGAAATTGAAACTTTAGACTAAAAGTCTCTTTTACAAAGTTGTTCCTTATAGTTAGGCCCTCATTTTTATGACAATGAATTCTAGGGTGGTTCCTATTATCATTAAAATCAAAAATCTAACTTTTTTGCTTGAATAAATTAAGGTATACATTCTTCAACAAAGTTATAGCTGAGCTAATTTCAAGCAACTTTGTTGAAAAAAAACTTTTTTGTATCTCTTAAATTGGTTGATTTAGAGCTATTTTTTGAATTGAGTTAGGGTGACTCTTAAAAAAACAGTTTTTTGCTCTATTTTTCTTATTTCTAATTTCTCAGCAAAGGTGTCTTCAGATAACTTTTAGATCTTAAGAAGGCGCAAATTTTTGATGCACAAAGCTTGTCAATATCTTTCGCCGATCAAGAGTTATTGACGTTTTTATACTAAAAATATGCACTTTTCAAATGTTAATATCTCTTGTTGGGGCAAACAAAAACAAAAAAAGTTTTTTTTTGCAGCATTAGAAAGGGCGTATGTTATTCTCAATAATATGAAAAAATTGGAGGTATGTTATTTTTTAAACTCGTATAAAATTGAATTGAATTTATTCATATTTTTTACTATATTTGAGTATATCTTTTTATTAGAAGAGATACAGGCAACAAATTCAGCTATAAAACATTCGTCTTAAAGAGTTCTAAAAGTTTTTAGAAGATGACTTTCATGATAAATTTCAAATAAAAAAGTTATTGGCAAAAGATGGATTTCATAGGACCACTCTAATGACAAATTTATATAAAATGTGCTAGTACATTTGTTTCAATATTTGGACATTTAGTGTCTTCGAAGAAGTTTTTGTTCTTAAAAATTCCCTTCTTTTGGTGTTTGCAAACGTCAGGGTGGTCCTCAAATTAGGGAATTTTTAAAACTAACTTTTTTGTTCTACAAAATATAAACATGTGTGGTCAAACAAAGTTGTAGATAAGTTACTTGCAAGCAACTTCGTTGAAGAAAAATTTTTTCTATCTCTTAACGTTCTCATTTTAGAGTAATTTTTCGGAGTTGACTTAGGGTGTTCCTGAAAAAAATAGTATTTTTAGCAATAACTTTTTTATTTGAAAATTCTCATGAATGTTTTCTTCTAGAGACTTTTAAAACTCTTTAAGACGAATGTTTTATAGCGGAATTTGTTGCCTGTATCTCTTCTAATAAAAAAGATATACTCAACTATAGTAAAAAATATGAATAAATTCAAATTGATTTTATACGAGTTTAAAAAATAACATACCTCCAATTTTTTCATATTATTGAGAATAACATACGCCCTTTCAAATGCTGCAAAAAAACTTTTTTTTTTGTTTGCCCCAACAAGAGATATTAACATTTTAAAAGTGTACATTTTTAGTATACAAACGTCAATAACTCTTGATCGGCGAAAGATATTGATAAGCTTTGTGCATCAAAAATTTGCGCCTTCTTAAGATCTAAAAGTTATTTGAAGACTCCTTTGCTGAGAAATTCGAAATAAGAAAAATAGAGCAAAAAACCTGTTTTTTCAAGAGCCACCCTAACTCAATTCAAGAAAATAGCTCTAAATCGGCCAATTTAAGAGATACAAAAAAGTTCTTCTGAACAAAGTTGCATGAAATTAGCTCAGCTATAACTTTGTCCAAAAATGTATACCTTAATTTATTCAAACAAAAAAGTTAGATTTTTGATTTTAATGATAATAGGAACCACCCTAGAATTCATTGTCATAAAAATGAGGGCCTAACTATAAGGAACAACTTTGTAGAAGAGACTTTTAGTCTAAAGTTTCAATTTCAGGCTCAAAACATATCATTCCACCTAAATCTGCATTCTGTACCACTGTGCACTGGAAATTCTCGAAAATTTCCGCTACAAATGCCGGAAGCAGGGAGACGATCGTCCAGAGGAAACCATCGATGAGTACCTGATAGCTTTACGCAAGCTGACTATCACTTGCAACTTTGGGGATATTATCTCAATAATATTGATAACAACATTGTTCGCTGATTGCCTAATTGAGAAATTCGAAAAATAAATTTAGCGTATTACACTGCTTTTAATACGATTTGTAATAAATTTTATTAACGTCATATACTTTACAGACAATTTTTAATATCTGAAGGTTACGTGTTTTTTTCCAGTGAAATTTATGTGACAAATTTTTTGAGTGTATTTCATACAAAAATGATCAGTAGGCTGATATGACAGCACGTCCCCCCCGCATAGTACAAGTGGGAGGAGTAGCCAATGAAGGAATCATGCAGAAATTTCTAAAACAGCTCGGCTAGCTCAGCAAAATGCTGCTCGGTGACAGTGATCTATAGCCTTCCAAGAAGATGGCAAAACTCTTGAAAGGAGTAAATGTATTTTCTCATTTTAATCATTCTATTTAGACACTTGCCTTCGTAGAACTTTTTGCAAAAACACAGAAAAACGTCTTGAGAAAAGTGATATCATCATCAATAATTCCTTCCGAGTATTTTTCAACAGTTTTGAAAATTTGCCTTGCAAATTTGTGCGGAAAATCTGCGAAAACAATCACGTCTAATTCCCTGCAAATGTCAATATTGTTGCTGCTTTTCACCGAACACATCCACCCGAACAATGTTGACATCTTAGCCAACCAAACACATCGGCTTCGAAAAAGGTTTTGTGAAAGCCGCCACTTCATCGCATCCAAAGCAAATGTTTGCGTATCGTGGGACCGATGTTCAACCCACCAACGAAACGAGCGATAATTTTACTAACCGAGGGTGAATGGGAAAATTCCTTCTCCTCTAAACATTGGATAAAATCACGGCCTGCTATGTTATGTTTCCACCTCGGTTATCCATGGCCTGCTGCTGGTTGGTTGGCATTTTTTTCCCTACTCAATGCACTAAGTTCATTTCCACACAATGAATAAATTAACCCGCAGTAAAGAACACCCTTTTTCCTCGTAAAAACAATAACAGGGGAGGGAGGAAACTGGGAAAGCTCTAAACATCTGCTTTCCTTCGGGGGAAGTGGAAAACAACGCACAATCGAGATAATGCACTTCTGCACCGAGAGCAAAGGAAACCCGTAAATCTAATTAGTGCAAAACAGCACTAAGCCAACTTTGTTAACGGTAGTGGCTATGGTAGTTTATCTCGTCTTGCAGTTTGTTGTTTCTGATAAAATTGGACGGATGGGAGGAACGTTAGGAAGGTGTGGTTACCTCTTTCAACAGCTCTTTCCGAAGCAAATGACAGCTTCAATGTATCTTGGTCTTGGTTGTTACTTTTTACCATATATAGCAAGGTACAAGGAGAGTTGCTAATGAAAAACAGACGCCTGTCAGACAAAGGCCAGGCTGAAGCAGGCGACGACGGTTGGACAGAAATTGAATTTCCTTTTCTGAATGGCTAACAGGCTATACGATATGCCAGTGACATTTGAAGGGGGAGAGCAAGATTTTTTTTTAATAAAAGACTCCTGGTGTGGTATTTTGATTGGATCGAGGATGACCTACGAAGGTTAATCGAGGTAACCGTTGCCCCAAACAACGGTCTAGAACTGTCAAACTATTTTTCAGCGAAACATCAAACATTTTCGAATATATAGACACTCACGCACACACACACACACGCACACTTACATGATAGGATTCAGAGGATGAGTGTCGTATAAAAAAATATTTAATAACACACTAGAAACAGAGGGAACGGCTACAAACAGTAGTAACAGATCTCGCATCAACAAACAAGCGAACAGAGCTGGGGGGGATAAACAGACTATAATCATGGCTGACTAGATTAGGTAATTATCATCATATATAATCATCAAAAGTTGGTACAGCGAAACGTCAGCGGGTTTACACAGCGAGGGAGTACAAAAAACAAAAATTAGTGGAATCACTAGCTACCCGGGACATCGTACACCGTTTTCAGGTCGATCTTGAACGAACCGACCACCGTTCCGGAGCGCATAAATTTGCGTGAATGTATCACCTGTAGGCGAAGATAAAAAAAAAAAAACAAGAACGGAAGGAGCAGAAGTGATTTTGCGCTTGTAAATGAGTTTCCTTTTTTGTTCGATGAAACAGGGAATGGTGCTAGGACATGCAAGGTGCAGATTGTCAGTACGAATGGGGCGAATGGTTACCAGGTTACTAGGACTTTGTTGACGTCATGGCGATTCGATTGTTTGTTTGTTTGTAAACATTGACATTAAAGGGAAAAACGTTCATACTTACAGATAGCGTTATTATTTTGTCGAACAGCATCACCGGAGGCATGTGGAAATCAAACACGAAATACTGCCACAGGAAGAATCAAATTTGAAATGCCTTTTTTGTTTTGTGCAAGGAAATGATACCCACCTCGTTGTAGTACGGACAGTTGGTGCTCTCCTTGACGCTGGTGTATTTTTTCTGGTCGCCTACTTGGATGCAGACAACCGGGTCCATGTTCAGTCCGGGCAGCTGCCTCGCTTCGATGATCGTCACACACACCTGGAAGTCCTGCGACTTAAGGTGATCGTTGCACTTGGCCAGATGCTTGATCCTGTATCAAAAAGATCACTAAAAATGTTGTACATCAGATCGAACATATTTTTCCACCTACTTTTTTAGCTTTTCATTGTTGGTGTTCTCTTCCCCGTCGCTGGAGGCATTCGAGTGGGTACTGCCGGCCTGCGAAAGGTTCTCGTATCCCTGAGCGGTTCCACCGGCCGTGCTCGGGCTTGTCATCGCCGGCGTCGTTGGATCGTTTGCGTGGCTGCTGCTTTGGTGACCTAAACTGGCCGGACCACCTCCGGCCAGAGCTTCCTCCGAGTCGGTGATCAACGATCGCCCTTCGTCCTCGGTGCTACTGTCTCGACTTTCCCGCGAGGGATGCCTCGAACGGCCCAGCTTCATAAAGTTCCGAACCGTCCGTAGGGTGACCTTCTTGTCCGAAATGGACTTGGCCGGTTTGGAGGAGGATTCGTTGTCCTGTTTTGAAACAATCAAATTCTTTTATAAGTATAAGATAATCCACAAAATTTACCGTAAACCTACCGAAGAAGCCTTATCGTGCTTGGCCGCCGGGTATTGGCTCTTTTCGTGCAGTGAAGTCGATCCGGAGGACATTACTCGCTTCAGGATGTTCGGTTTGCTACCGCCGCCGTCAGTTCCGGAAAAGGAACTCCTACTGGCCACAGTGGTCCCAGCAGCACCACTACGATCGCCATCGCGCCTAATTAGACTCTTCTCCAGGTTGGCAATGTTCTGTTCGATGTCCAGAAGCATCTGCTGGTCGTCGTCGATGCTATTGGATTGCTGCTGACGCAACGTCCGGACCACGTGCGATGAATCGAAGTTACCCGCCTCGTCGTCCGGACTTTGGTAGCTCACGTCGAAGCTGACGTAGGCCTGTGTGGGTGAGAATGTTTTGGTATTGTAATTCTTTATAAAATCGGGGGGGGGGGGGGGGGGGGTTGACGTGCTGTTAAATCAGCCTACTGATCATCTTGTATGAAACTGGTTCCAAACGTAAACAAACGCTGTAGGTTTCTTATGGCTTGTTTACGTTTGGAACCAGTTATGCGAGGTAGGCGAAGATTGTTCGTATTTGGCAGCCACCTCCCCCCCTTGATAAAAATAGGTTTTAAACCGCGGCGGAAGTCCCACAGTTTGAGCTTTACAGTGTTTCTCAAACTATAGATTGCGACCCATCGGTGAGGACATTTTCACGTTTTCAATATTGTTTTGGGGGTTTCAGACCGTTTTGGCGTTTTGAAGCTGTGTTTTCGTTCTTAAGGTTGTTTTTGGTGTTTAAGGATAATTTCAAGAGCAAATTTTCATTATGTCGTAAGTAACATTCGCACCAATCCGAGAAAAATAAGGTTTAGTTTTGATGACCGAAAAGTTATTCCTATTTTCAAGTAAACACATATAATCTCATAGAGATAGCAATGTTTAACATATTTAGCAGGGTTTTAATCATACAAATGCAAATCGCTAGCTTTCATGCTAAAAAATACTGGTTTTTGAGTCAAAAGTTATTATACGTCGTTTGGTGGCCCCTATTGTTACTTAAGTCAAAGTGTATTTACCAGGATATTCGGGAGAATTATCAATTACGTCTCCTTACGTGCAGCCCATTCATCATTTTAGGACCACCGAAATCATCTTAGCAACAAACAGTTCGATTTATTCACTTTAATAATGAGAAAGCGAAACGACGAACGTACACTTTTCACGGGTTTCTCAGCGCTGTTACTTAAGTCAAACGGCATCTCCATAGAAATTGGGTGACTTAAGTAACATCGAAAACTATTTTGATCGGAAGGTGATTACGTCGAAAAGTAATTTGACTGGTAAATAAATTTAAAAATGGGGTTTGATCCTATATTCGGACAGTATATAGTGTAATAGCAGGAGAATCGATTGACACTGATAGCTCGACTTTGTTTACCTTTGTTACATTCGACGTAATGAAAATTTGCTCTTGATTTTATCATTTATTTTTAGATGTAGAACCGTTAGACCGACTGCCCTTTGGTCGAATCGGTCAATTGGGTTCTTTAGGGGTATTGAGGTAATTGCATATTCGTAATCTGCATTACAAATGGAATCGAAATCCAAAATTTCATCAATTTCGGAGCACTGGAACTATTTTAAATAAGTGTGATTAAAGGGTGATACGGTCAAAATTTGGTCAATATCAACTTGACGTATTTCTTTCAATTTTGCATTTAAAAAACCTGAACACCCCTCATTTTGAAGGTGTGTGTGTGTAGAATGTTGCTCCTATTTTGATTTTGGAATTCACACTTCAGTTGTCAAAATGCCGTCCAAGCAAGAAGAGCAGCGTATCAAAATTTTGCTCGCGCATCGCGAAAATCCGAGCTACTCGCACGCAAAGTTGGCAAAATCGCTAAAAGTTGCCAAATCAACCGTTACAAATGTAATTAAAGTGTTTGGGGAACGTTTGTCGACAGCCAGGAAGTCTGGATCGGGGGGAAATCGAAAACCGGAAGCCGCTGAGACGACAAAGAGAGTTGCCGGTAGTTTCAAGCGAAACCCTAACCTCTCTCTCCGAGATGCCGCAAATAAGCTGGTCGTATCGTCTACAACCGTGCATCGAGCCAAAAAACGAGCCGGACTATCGACTTACAAGAAGGTAGTGACTCCAAATCGCGATGATAAACAAAATACGACGGCCAAAGCGCGATCCCGGAGGCTGTACACGACGATGCTGACGAAGTTTGACTGCGTGGTAATGGACGACGAAACCTACGTCAAAGCCGACTACAAGCAGCTTCCGGGACAGGAGTTTTATACGGCAAAAGGAAGGGGAAAGGTAGCAGATGTTTTCAAGCACATGAAACTGTCAAAGTTCGCAAAGAAATATCTGGTTTGGCAAGCCATCTGTACCTGTGGCTTGAAAAGCAGCATTTTTATAGCTTCCGGGACTGTCAACCAAGAAATTTACGTGAAAGAGTGTTTGAATAAACGTCTGCTGCCTTTCCTGAAGAAACACGGTTGTTCCGTACTGTTTTGGCCGGATTTGGCATCTTGCCATTACGGTAAAAAGGCCATGGAGTGGTACGCCGCCAACAACGTGCAGGTGGTTCCCAAGGACAAGAACCCTCCCAACACGCCAGAGCTCCGCCCAATTGAGAAATACTGGGCTATTGTCAAGCGGAACCTAAAGAAGACCAAAAAAACTGCTAAGGGCGAGCAGCAGTTCAAGGCAAACTGGCTTTCTGCGGCGAAGAAGGTGGACAAGGTGGCTGTACAAAATCTGATGGCAGGGGTCAAGCGTAAGGCCCGGCAATTCGGATTTGGAAAAGCGGAAGCCTAACTGAATATTTTTCCTGAATTTTATACTAATTGAACTTGAAAAAGAAATTTAATTTGATTTTTTAAATAAACGATTTCACCGATTTACACGCGTTTTCCCTTGACCAAATTTTGACCGTATCACCCTTTACTGTCCTGCCCAATGTAAAGAGTCGGATGGAACAATCGATCGTCTCAAGAATGACATCCAGAAGTTGACTCGTCGGAAGGGTAAGTTTATCCTCACCGGTGATCTCAACGCACGTCACTCACTGTGGGGAAATGCAAGAAGTAACAATAACGGAGCAGTGCTGGCCACGGACCTGCAGGCGGGACACTACGTGGTCTTCCATCCGGATTCGCCTACCTTCTACTCACCAGCCGGTGTCGGATCCACCCTCGACATCGTTCTCACCAAAATGGCGGATGGTTGCTCTGAGCCCCGTGCCATTACCGATCTGTCATCCGACCACCTACCGGTGGTTTTCGAGATGAATCAAACCATCAACCAACGTCAGCAGCATTGTAGGCGAAACTATCATCGAGCGAACTGGCCTCAACTCCAGCGGTTTATGGAGGATCAAGTGGCCGAAAATCCTGCGTTAACGACGACGGGAGAAATCGACGGCGTGCTGCAAGCGCTCTCCGATGACATCGGCGAAGCGGAACAACGGTTCATCCCGACAACCCTGGTAACATGTAAGTTTACCAACCTTGATGATGAGACCAAGCGTATAATATCTTTTAGGAGTTGTGTTAGGAGGCAGTTCCAAAGAACGCAAAACGTTAGTAGGAAAGTTTTATATAACAAATTAAACAAAATTATTGCCATTAGGGTAGAAAAACTTAGGAACAACCAGTTTGCAAAAGACCTTAGTAGTTTACCAAATTACTCTAGGCCCTTCTGGCGTTTAACAAAAGTGCTTAAAAACAAACCAAAGCCCATGCCGCCTCTTAGAGTTGATAATGAGGTTCACATAGCAGCCGTCGAAAAGTCGAACTCCATTTCTCAACATTTTATGGCTTCGCATTAATCTGGGTCGAGATATTGTCAGCCCGATGGAGGGTCCGGTGCTTGAGAGCGTCTACCAGCTAGCTACTGAGCCTGGACCGGAAAATCACACTTGATGAGCTGGTGAACACCATCAAGTCGACGAAGAACATGAAGGCACCGGGTTTCGACGGACTCTTCAACATTCTCCTGAAGAATTTGGGACCGAAAGCGCATACTCTTCTGGTGACGTCTTCAATCGCTGTCTAGAGCTTGGACACTTCCCAGCTACCTGGAAACGGTCCAAGGTGGTACCGATACCGAAGCCGGGAAAGGATCCTACCAACCCGTCAAGCTACCGTCCGATCAGTTTGCTTTCCTCGCTTAGCAAGTTGTTCGAAAAACTCATTTACACCAGACTCCTCGAGCACACCGAGGCGAACGACATCCTACTGGACGAGCAATTTGGATTCCGACGAGGTCACTCGACTGTGGACCAACTCAAGCGGGTCTCAAACCTCATCAATCAGGCGAAGTCGGTCCTGAAGACAACGGTCATGGCGATACTGGACATCGAAAAGGCATTCGATAACGTGTGGCACGGTGGCTTGGTGCACAAGCTTCTGCAATTTCTTTTCCCCAGCTACCTGGTGAAGATCATCTCAGACTACCTCGACGGCAGGACGTCTCAAGTATGCGTAGGCAGTGCTCTCTCGGAACCGTATGATGTACCCGCTGGAAGCATCCTGGGACCCATATTGTACAATCTATACACATCGGACATACCGACACTGCCGCAAGGTGGAACACTGTCGCTGTTTGCTGACGATTTGGCAATCAGCTACAAGGGACGAGCAATGCGCACTCTCGTATCAAAGCTCCAAAACGGATTGGATGCCTACACCAATTATCTCACCGACTAGAAGATATGTGTGAACGCAGCCAAAACGCAAACCATTGTGTTTCCGCATAGCAACACCGACCGGCTCAAACCGTCATCAAAGATAAAGGTTCTGAACGCTGAAACAGAGTGGTCACCCGAGGTACGCTACCTTGGCCTGATTCTCGACAGTAAGCTCCTCTTCCGGTCGCTCGTGGAAGACCGAGTCAAAATAGGCACCATCATGCTGAAACGTCTGTATCCGATCATCAACCGTCGCTCGAAAGCATCCACCGTCAACAAGCTGGCTGTCTACAGGCAGATTGTTGCGCCTATGCTGGAGTATGGGTCTCCGGTATGGAAGGGTTGTGCTAAAACACATCGGAAGAAGCTCCAAGTCCTTCAGAACAAGTTCCTGAAGATGATTCTGAATCTGCCTCCGCGCACACCGATAGCCGACGTTCATCGGCTGGCAAATCTCGATCAAATCGACCAGAGAATGACTGCGCTCGCCAGTAGGCACCAAACTAGAACTCTAAATTCAGAATACGAAAAAATTAGAAATCTTTATCCATAATTTTGTAAATAAATATACGGCAAAAGGAAGGGGAAAGGTAGTAGATGTTTTCAAGCACATGAAACTGTCAAAGTTCGCAAAGAAATATCTGGTTTGGCAAGACATCTGTACCTGTGGCTTGAAAAGCAGCATTTTCA